TTAAACTCCAGACCACTCAGTCCTAGTAGTGAAAATCCCACGGATCTATGTGCGCTAACCCCCTGACATTTCCTTATTGGTAGTCCATTGTTATCTCCCCCAGAACCTAATCTAATAGATCACTCGTCATAAGGCAAGATAATTTACCCCCCAACCAATGGCGAATAGGTCGCCGAAGTACGAACTGCCAATGGCATCGTTACTAGGCCAATCGTCAAATTAGTTTTACTCCCCAATCCCCAACAACACTAATAATTTTTTTCCATTTTATTCACAGCTATTACGATGCCCAATCAACGCCGTCGAATTCTCTCGCCATTGGAGGCTCTCCTTTGACTGTCGCCTATGCCGTAAGGACCATCCTCTAAGAAAATGCCTTAAATTCATGGCCATGAAAGTGACAAAAAAGTTTAAGGTTGTGAAAGGGCGCAAATATTGTGAGAATTGCCTTGGCCATTCACATTTGATTGTCTCCTGTCGCAGTACGGAACGTTGTCGACAATGCCAGGGTAAACATCATACATTGCTACACCGCCATCGACGCTTGCACGAGAAAAAACGTGATAGCTTCTCCGCCAAACATCAACCAATCAGTAGTCGGCGCTCTATTACGCTACTCCCAACTATAATAGTTAAAATGGAACTGGGAGACAAATATAGTAGCGTGAGAGGTTTACTTAACCCTTGTGTCGAGGTAACCTCTATAGCTCGCTTTCTTGTAGAAAGGCATAAACTGCCTCAAGAGAAGATTGGCTCAGACAGCTTTTGCCAAATAAAAATACGCTCACGTTTTGACAATGAGATTACCTACAATATATTGGCTATGATAGCGGATGATATGCCCCGTAAACAACCCAACGAAAAGATCGATCTAAGAGTCGCAAATCTTTACACTAACCTTCGACTGGCCGATCCATATTTTTACGCCAATTTTGAAATCAACTTTATTCTGGGAGCTGATATATATCCACGACTTATTCGGTCCAGTATTCAGCCGGAAACTAATGGCGCACCCATGGCTCAGGACACCGTCCTTGGCTGGACAATAATAGGAAAGTTTGGCATCTAACACAATCACCGAAATCACAACATTTGCTGTGTATAAATAAACCACTTTTATACATTTTCTTTGCCTTTTTTTATTACTGTATTTTTTTATTTCTTTTTACTTTAAATTATTATGTATTTTATTTTAAATGCTGCAAAATATAATTATTACCTATTATAATTGCTATTCCAAATATTACTTAAAAGTATTTATTTTTTTTTGCATGAAGTAATACACTAAAAAACTTTTGTTATAACTTAATTTTTCAAAAATTTGTAAACCTTTATTGTACAGTCCGAATTATAAGAGACTTATTTTAAGGCTGCATAGAAGCAAGGGGCCGGGATGTTTATATGTAAATAAGTTAATATTTAAGTGCTTTTAATTAAACATCCGTGGCTGTGGGAAACTTTCCAATCGCCGTGTGTTCTCTTGCTCTCTTGTGAAAAAAATATAATTGTTATACATTAGACCATATACCGGCGTATGGAGAGGCAGATAAAAAATCACCACTACACACACAATATTGGCATTTCTTTAATGAAATTGCACTGAAAAAAATATTTGGTTATTTTTAATTTTGAAGATTAAATTGCATTAGTGTAAAATGCAAATATTTATAAACAAAATGCAATCAATGTACATAAGAATGATAATTTCTTCACATAGAAACGACATTTCAAATTAAAATGTACAAGAAAAGAATGAAACAAGATGAACTTATTTACTTTCGTTGTTGAAAATTATTTAGGGTGTACGTTGTTTTTGTAAATTATGCTCTTGTTTTTGCAAGTTGTTATTGTTTTTTCATGTTGTGTTTGCAATTTCCTTAACAAAGCGACATCAGCCTGCTTTGTTGAATGCTGTCAAGCAACTAAATAAAATATTTGTATTTTTAACAGTGTGACCAGGTCTCAAAAAAATGTTGCGGCTAAATCCCATCCAAAATAATGCTAGAAAAAATGCTAAATTGATTTTAAAATGCCAAAAAATGCTAAAATTTTTTAAGTGTTTTTATGAACAATTCATATTAATTTGTAACTGAAATTCATTGTAATTTATAACAAGTAAGAAAGTATATTCTGCCGTGGTTGACCATATGAGTATAAAATTTGATTTATTTTTCGTAATAAAGCATTTATGTTGAATTGAACCTTGGTTCCGATATACTTAAACTCTTTTTCTGGGGGCTAGGTAAAATAAAGGACGGACTTTAACCATTTTTAAAAGGTTTTGTCATTGGATCAAAAAGCATACGTGCTTATTGTTTTGATAATTTCAACCTCTACCAGACGGTCAGACTTGCATGGCTTAATCTTCCTCAAAACACTTTAAAAATGGTTTTCATGTCACAAAAATATTGAAAATTCCGTTGAAATAATTTTAAATCTCGGTGAATAGATGTCAGGTTTATAACTCATACTTCCAAGATTTTTTCGGAAAAATATATATGAGAATGTATGAAATGAATTGAGAGATATATTCAAATCCGTAAGTTTGTAATTCTGGAATAAATTGTCAATAATATTTTCGAAATTTATGTATTTTTTTAATTAAAAAAAAACGTGACAACAAAATTACTAAAAATTTGCTAAAAATAAAAAGAACAGAAAATAGGATGAGAAAGTCTTAATTATATATTATTGATTTTTTTCAATACTTATTTCCTTATACTCCTGAAGGATGATATAAATTAAAACCTTTTTATTTCGTATAGGAAAAAATAAAATTTGTTAATTAACCGTCATACATAGCCTTTTCCAAAATTATATGTTTCATTCCATGAGCAAACAAAAAGTATTAGTTTGTAAAATAGCGTACTGAACGTATTTGTAAAAATATATGAAATCTCTTGAATTATTTCTATCACCTCGAATTTAAAAAAGCATTGGGTTCCAGAAAAATATTTTAGAATACAACATTTTAAAGTATTCACTTGTATTGGCGTAATTTTAAGTTATTTATCTTCATGAATCTTTTTGCATTATTTTGAATTACAGTGTAAATTATTACATTTCTCATATTTCTTGTTGCTTGTGTTTGGAAAGACATTTAATTCTGATTTTTTCCGGTTAAACCTATTTCCAATATAAATCTTTTTTGCAAAAATTTGTCTTTTTTTTTGTTTATATACTAAAATTGCAAAAAAAGCTAAAAATGCTAAAAATATTTTATAAAAATGCTAAATAAAATGCCAAATGCTAAATTAAAATTTTACAGCTAAATCAAAATAAAAAATGCTAAATCTAGCTGCAAAAATGCCAAAATGGTCACACTGATTTTTAATGCTCTTGTTTGGAAGTTCGTCTGCGATCGTGTTATGTACATGTAATTTGCCGAAAATCTTCGTTGTCAGAACAATACTAGCGCCGACGTCTGCATTAGACCTTAAGATGAAAAGAATTGTAACTTAAACTTACTTCTAAACAAAACCCCCAGGAAAAAAGTGCGTATATCGCTACAAAAAAAAAAATAAAGATAATTAACCCCCACTAATCCCCGTTTTATTTTATTATATTTGTCAAAAAATCTAACGACCTTACCCCAACACACGCAGAGAAAAGACGTGGATCAACATGGTTACTATAACTTACAATGTTTACTGCAACAATATATTGTTTTCAAAAACATGCAATCGTTATTTTAATTAGACTTTAATAATATTTTAATTACTGTAAACATTTTCATGTTCAAGGCAATTATAAATTTGAGTATGACTCACTATTATATTTCAGTGAATCATACTCAAATTTATATTATTATTATTATTTTTACAACAACTAAATAATGATAACAATGATAACATATTATGTTATTTACAACCATTTAAACTTACAAATAACCATTATATGAAATGAATTGAAATAATTCTCATTTGGTTTATAACATTAAACGTATGTATAAGTATTTCAGTTTGTATAGTTATGTTTTTGTGATGCAAATTGAAAAAACCGTACTGTTACCACGTTTGTGCAAATATAGAAATTTTAAAAATATAACACTTGAAAAAGAAAACACAAAATAATTAAGTTTTCAAACGTTAAAGTTAAATTATTTCTCAATAATGTGCTCTCTCTATTTATAATAGGTATCGACAAGAATTCCATGGCTAGTCTTGCCAAGAATAAATGTAGGGCTTACTTCGCCTCTAAAGCTGTCACATTCAAAATTGGGAAGGTCCTATTGGAAGGGCTGTTACATCAATCCTCGAAAAGGACACTAAAAACCTAAGAACACGGCATCAGTAACCACTACTGATAAAGTTGAGGAGTCAAATCCTAAAAGCGAGGAAGGTACCACTAACTCGCCAGAAGAAAGTGCAGCTGCCATTAATAGTACCAGGTTACCCAGGTCAAATCCAAAGAGCGAGGAGGTGAAAACCAACTCGTTGGAAGACAGTTTAATGGATTACCATGATTGAGGTTATCCAAATAAACCTACATCAGAGCGAAACTGCTACCAACGCTATGATGGCTAAAATTAACACAGGTAAAATACATAGCTTTAATCTAGTAACCTTGGAAGGTTCGCATCAAGGTTTCGGGATTAAATAATGTAAATTTCCAACTTTTCTACGCTGATACAGGATCTTGCACGAGAACATGTGTCTTATGTCACAAGAACTTATGTTTTCTCCTCTCAAAAGGATTATCCACATCGGATGCATCGGTACTGAAGCAAAGTCGTAGCAACATATTCCTCGCATCTGTTTACCTGCCCTTCGATTCTCCGACACTACCACCAACGTCGGATCTGATGAAACTGGTTGAAGAGGCACAAAGAAAAATTAAGAAAATTGTAATAGGTTGTGATGCCAACTCCCACCATGTAGCTTGAGGTAGTACAAACACCAATCGCAGGGGACAAGCCCTTATGGATTTCCTTAATACTAAAGACTTGATCACATTGAACTTAGGTAATAAAGCTATCCGCCACCTGGGACGCGTCCCAGGTGGCGGATAGGGGGAGCTAAGCATGGTCTTTTTCGACACATTGGACATAATGGTCGAAAACGACGACGCTAGCTCGAGATAAGGCAGACCTGACTAGATACATTTTTGACAAATGGTCTAACAAGCCTGTCATATCTAGATGAGTGCATGAATCAGGACAATCTTTTATCACATCAGTGGATACATTTTTGACAAATGGCCTACTGATATGTAAAGAGATGGTAGAGTGCTGATATGATTTATGGTACACCTGATAACAGGCGGTCATATATGATAACAGGACTTCTCCTGTTCCCCATGCACAAATCCGCGGACCAAAACTGTCAACCCCACCCCCATCCCCATATTTCCCAATCCACCTAGTTTATCCCTCTTCAATCCAATCCCAAGAACCCATTCCCTCATCCCCCACTTGTAAGGTTAAGGTGGTTGGAAGCAGTGCCGAGAACCTGAATGGCTAGTTAGTGGTTAAAGAGGACTAGTCGTTAACAGCTCCCCTCCGATGCCAGGGCACGGATCGGTTGTAGTGCTTAGCCTAGCCCACGTACGCCGTCCCTGCGTGGGTCGTCCACCCATTACGCGCCTACTCGTGGGAATCACATGGAGAAAAAAACAAATAAACAAACAAACAACAAACAACCCGTGGAAAGCCAGTTGGGGAAACCTAAACTGGTGGACTGCAAACAGCCTGCTATCCAACCTTCTGGTGATAGCACGGCTGAACGCAGCGAGGAAATCTTGTCCGTAGTGGCAAGCACCTCATCAGCTGCACAAGCCTTAGCTGGTACGCCAGCAAATACCCCTGCCTCGGGCACTGCGGACCAAGCAGTGACCCCCGCGACTTCTGGACAGGTTGGATCGTCGAACTCGATGTCGGGTCCAACTAATGCCCCCTCAACCGCCCTCACGGCTAACGAAAACCCCCCTAGTCGCAAAGATCCATCTAGGAAGGCTTTTGTTCAAAGGCGTGCCGCCATGCGTTTAGTCGAGCGACTTGGAGTTAAGTCGGTCGATACGCTTACCCCGGACGAAAAATCGTCCCTAGATTGGGCTAAAGCCCTACTGGCTCAGCCGGAGTGTTCTGACCCTCCTACAACCTCAGATGCAGCGGACCAAGCTACATCTGCAGGGCCTAAACGGCAGCGATCGGAGGAAGAACATGCTCTCCAGGCAGTCCCACAGCCGAAGACTAAACGTCAGAAGCAGTTCGAGACTCGTATAGTCAATAGACCCTACAGCGAAGTTGCCAAAAACCCGCTGGTTAGGGCCATTGTTGACAAGAGTGTCAACGACGGAGCTATCTCCCAGGATAAATGGTTGATAATCCGTCAAAAAATGCTGGAGGTGTATTGGAAAATTCTCAAAGAGAATCCCGGTCCATCTCCGCAGAATGATGATGCTGGCTGGTACCAAGGTCACATCAAACTGCTGGCGTGCACGAACGAGCGCTCAGCAAACTTGCTTAAGTTGGCGGTTACGTCTATAGGGGAAGTGTGGCCCGGCGCGAAACTTGACGTGATCCCGGTTAGTGAGATACCTCGCAGACCGAGATCAATCACGGTTATTCCGGCGGAACCACACGAACCAGAGGCGATTCTGGCGTACCTTCAGAGTGGAAACCCTGACCTACCTACCCACAATTGGAAGGTAGTCAAGGTCTCCGAACCTGAAGGTGCTAACAGAAAGGCGGTCGTGGTCCTTAATAAGGAATCGTTGCCGTTACTCCGAGAGAAGCAAGGCAAAGTATACTACGGATTTGATAGTATCAAGCTGCGCGTCTACCGGGGTGACGACAAACTAGACCCCAAACCGGTAAGCACGGACGGAGGAAAGGTAGACGATACCACTAACTCTGACGACCAAATGGACGCCCAATCAAGTACAGACTTGATTGGGAATCTATTTGATAGCCAGGGCGAAGTGATTGACGAAGACGAGCTTCTGAAAACAGACCCAGAAGACGCCGACGTCACAATCGTCTACGACCCTGACCAAGATGAAGGTGATCCAAGTGAACCTTCACCACTCTAAAGCAGCTTCAGCTGCATTACACCTCCACCTTGGATATCAAGGGGAGGATATAGCGTTGATCCAAGAGCCGTGGACCCATAACGGCAACATACTTGGAATCAACATAAAAGGCTATAAAATACTATACGCAAAAGGCACAGGTAACATTAGATCTTGCATACTTGCTAAAAGCACCCTAAATATCTTCATTCTATCTGATTACAGTGATGAAGATACAGTAACCGCAGCATGGGAGACAGAGGAATCCACAATGTGGATCCTCTCCTGCTATATGGCGCACGACCAGACAGACCCCCCGCCAAGTAACACGGTCGTCAGGGCAGTAAGTGCAGCAAACGGAAAACGCATCCCTGTTATTATAGGCGCAGATGCAAACGCACACCATACACTATGGGGTAGCACCAACATCAACACACGAGGTGAGTTCGTATTAGACTTCATTTTAAATCATAATCTTGAAGTAGTAAATAGAGGTTCAGAACCTACATTTGTAGTTGCAAATAGACAAGAGGTACTGGACATAACGCTTGTAAATACAAGTCATTCGCACATAATCCGAAACTGGAAAGTATCGGAAGATTGTTCCTTTTCAGATCATAGATATCTCGTATTCTCGATAGAAAATACACAGGAAAGGAAAACCCCCTTTCTAAACAGAAGAAAGACAAGATGGGAAGAACAAAATCGAATCCTGACAAGTCTTCTTCAAAATACGCCGGAAATAAACAATACAGCAGATATTGATAGAGCTATAGACAACCTTACACGCTCTCTTAATCAAGCAACAAGAAGAACATGCAAACCTTCGATACCAAAGGGTAAAAGTAAACCTCCTTGGTGGTCCTCGGAAATAGCGAAGACTAGGAATAGATGTCGCAAACTTTTCAATGAGGCCAAAAGATCAGGTGAATGGTCCACATATAAAGCCTCATTGAATAAATTTAAGAATCAGGTTAGGAATGCTAAACGCTGCTCATGGAGAAGCATCTGTGGTAGCATCGAAAGCTCTTCAGAGACAAGTCGTTTATGCAAAATCCTGTCTAAATCACAAACCGTTCAAGGCTACATCCAAAAGCAAGACGGTGAGTGGACAACGAGTGGACAAGAATCCCTACAGGAATTAATGGACACTCATTTCCCAGGTAACTTACCATTAGATATTACAATGGAAAGACCACAAACGTATTGTCAAACCCCGATCGGAATCACTATAGACGAGGGAATGATAAAATGGGCAATAAACAGCTTTAACCCATATAAGTCACCGGGCCCGGACGGCATAATTCCAGCTGACCTGCAATATAATGCAGAATTAGTTATACCATGGCTACTTGAAATATTTCAAGCCTGTCTTACATGGTCATACGTACCAGAACAATGGACCAAATGTAGTGTGACGTTTATCCCCAAAGGAGGAAAAACAACGCACATTAAGGCAAAAGATTATAGGCCCATAAGTCTATCATCGTTTCTGCTTAAGACCCTAGAGAGGATCATTGACGTCCACATAAGATCGTCAATAGATCCTATGCTCCTATCTCCCTCACAACATGCCTACACCAAAGGCAAATCAGTTGAGACGGCCCTACACTCACTAGTGGGACATATAGAAAAGTCCTTGGAATTTGGTGAATACACGTTAGTGGCCTTTCTGGACATAGAAGGAGCCTTTAACAACGTCAAACCCGACATCATCATATCAGCTCTAGAAGAGCTCGGTATTGAGACATCAGTGATTAAATTCATAAAAGACCTTCTTCAACACAGGATTATCCGTTCTAACATGGGAATGGCATGTATTCAAAGAATGGCAATCAGGGGCACACCTCAAGGTGGAGTCCTATCACCACTTTTATGGAATGTGGCCATAAACAGCCTACTAATGAAACTGGACAACCAAAGATACAAGACTGTCGCTTACGCAGATGACGTTGCGGTAGCAGTATCAGGTTTCCATCTGAATACGATATCTCAAAGACTCGAATCAGCACTCAATCTACTAAGTAAATGGAGCGTTGATAGTGGTTTGAGTGTAAACCCTAGTAAAACCGAACTTGTACTCTACACCAGGAAATACAAGATCGAAAATTTTACCCTACCTCGACTAAACGGAGTCGTACTCTCACTTTCGAACAGTGCGAAATACCTAGGGGTGATACTTGATAGTAAACTATCATGGAAGGAAAATATCACAGCCAGAGTAAACAAAGCCTTAATGGCAATGTACATTTGCAAGAAGGCCATAGGAAAAAGATGGGGACTAAATCCCAAACTGGTAAATTGGATCCATGAAGCGGTTATTAAACCTATTCTCTTTTACGGGGCTGTTGTCTGGTGGAAAGCACTGGACAACAACTCCAATTGTATACTTCTTGATAAGGTACTAAGAAGGATAGCAATCCTTATAACAGGAGCACTGAGAACAACTTCAACCAAATCTCTATTCGCAATGCTTAATTGGATCCCAACGGATCTGATAGCCAGAAAACTGGCACTCATCACTGCCCTCAGACTTGATGCCATAAATGCTTGGACACACAGGCCATACGGCCATGCGGCTATTATGAGGGAAACATCTTTCCTCCCGGGCAATATTGATTACTGCATACCCAAACCTTTCCTCCGTAGGGACTTCGGATACACAATATCCGAAAACTCTTCACCGGAGGATAACAGTTCCCCAAGAACCCTCCTGGTATATACGGATGGTTCTAAAAAAGGGGAACGAGTTGGAGGTGGCATTTTTATCCCTGAATTTGGAACTAAAATAAGCTTTAGGATACAGAATAATTGTAGTCCACTACAGGCTGAACTATCAGCCATAAAAAGAGCAGCAAATTGGCTTTGGTACTACAGAATATCAAACAGAGATATTCAAATTTGTACCGACAGCCAAGCTGCTATCAAATCCCTGATTGGTGTATATACTACATCTAAACTAGTCCAGGAATGCCGGGCATCCTTAAACAGGATGGCGAGACATTCAATAATCGTGCTCAAATGGGTACGGGGACACGGGGATTTGACTGGCAACTATATCGCTGATGAATTAGCGAAACTAGGAGCCTCAATGTCCGACAGAGACATAGACATCTTTTGCGGAATACCGCTAAAAGCTTGCAAGACCATAATAGATGGAAAGTTCTATGAAATTTCTCAGACAAGATGGCGTAATGAACCAACTTGTATCAATACAAGGAAGATATGGCCAAATTTGGACAGTAAACGCACGTCATATCTTCTGCAACTAAACCGCCCTCATATCAGCAACCTTGTTGCTGTCATTACGGGGCATATCTCATTGGGAAACCATGCAAGAAGACTTGGAATTCCCCACAACGACTTCTGTAGAAGCTGTCAAGACGAAGAGGAGGAAGAATCCATCGAACATCTTCTCTGTCAATGCCCGGCGCTAGCGGACACTCGATCCGTATATCTAGGAAAACGACTATTTGATGACTTGTCAGAACTATCCAATCTAGGACTGGATAACATAAATGCCTTCATCAGGCACAGTAACTGGTTCTAGGACCACCAAGCCATAATTAAGGCACTCACTAGTCCGCAAGGACAGACCTCTCAATCTTCTCTTCCACTTCAATTTCTCTTCTATGACTTAATCCTAAACTATCTTCTACTATCCTCTACCCTCTTTCTTTTATATTTTATTATCTTTACAGGTATCACAAAGGGACCAACAGGACCCAAGTGTGCGTCTTTGCAGCCTGAATACCTAACCTAACCTACCTTCGTCAATAGAATCAGAGAAGTATTAGATATAACTATATGTTCAGAAGAGCTTATAAACAACAGTCAGGATTGGAGAGCACGAGCACTCCTTTTCTGACCATCGGTACATAAGTTTCAAAATACTAAGACCACCGCCAAAGTCGACAAAATTTCGAAATAAGTCTAAAACTAATTGGACAGTGTTCGGGACCTTCCTAAAGAACCGTTTAGGTAAGAACACTTTTCAATGTTGAAATAAAGAGGATATAGACGCCAAAGTGCCATGCTTTAATCGTTCGAGGACCGCTGCCCTCTGCGAGAGCGGAGTTTTGCCCAAGACAAACTGGGTAACTGGGCAGATCCGAAACCTTGGAATGACTCTTCGCGTAAAAAGACCGCAGTATACTGGGATGAGTATCGAAATAAACTTGGTGAATAGAAGAAAATCGTTCGAAAAGCCAAACGATACTCCTGGAAACTTTTCTGTTAACAGGTAGATGGTGTAAATGACGTATCGAAGATAAAAAATTCACATTCAAAACGCATGTCCAACTTAGGATGGTGATGGGACAATGCAACTTCTAATGAACTCTCATTTCCTACCAAGTATATCGAATAACATAGATGAACCGAGATTGGAGGAATGGAAGGCTAACACGGAAATTGTTGTTACATCTGATACGGTTAAAGGGGCAATAAGAGTTTTGCTCCCTATAAAGCTGCAAGGCCGAACGGAATTTTCCTGATACTTTTTCAGATGGAAGTGGGACTGGTTTACGTACATCTGTCTCAGATATTCAATGCATGCTTGAAATTGTCATATACCCCAGTTAAATGGCAGGATGCAAGGGTAATATTTATACCCAAACCAAGGAAACCTTAGTGTCGCATAGCTTGGAACGGATAGTGAATAGTATACCAGACAAAGACCTTAGATATAAGCAACATGCTTTTATAAAGGGACGAAAGGTGGAAACCACTTTAAACGAAGTTGTCCACTACATAGGTGAATACTTCGATAGCAAACTATAAACACTGACGGCATGCATTGACATCGAATGCGCCTTTAATAACGTGCACACTAGAAGAGCTGAGAAAGGCTCTAGTAACATCAAATTACTACAGGGAGTTCAGCGTATATGCTGATTGGGTATAAGTGGTGCCATGTGTTCTACTTCAACCAAGGCTCGGGAAATGTTGCTAGATATTCCACCCATTGAAACATATTTAAGATAAGAGGCGGCGCTTACAACCGAACGGCTCTTTACTTTAGGCGAACTGCCCAAAAGCAGTTATAGGACACGTTATTAATGTATACTGAACACATTGGAAGGCTAAATACAATCACAGTACGTGCCTGATCGTATACCAGACACAGAATATGTCGGAAACTTTGCAACGCTGATCCCAGATAGAATGTCTTGGTCAAGCGGAACATTAGAGCAAATACCAGTAGTAGTCCGTTGTTACTCGGATGTCTCTAAATTGAAGGACAGAGTAGGGCTGGGGTTCTATATTGAATACCGTGAAACAAAAATATACCACCGTTTATATAATCATAACATAAACTTCCAAGCAGAAGTCCGCGCAATAACGGAATGCGTTAATTGGATTAGAATAAATATGGCGCCCACAGCCCTTAATATATTTACCGACAATCAGAAGGCAATTAGGGCAATATCAAGTGATATAATTATATCTGAGACCGTATTGGATTGTAAGAAAGCTTTTACTGAATACTCTCCCTGAGGTAAGATTTACATCATATGGGTAACAGGCCACTCGGGAGTAGTCGGCAACGAAAATGCGAATGCAATAGCTTTAAAGGGAAGGGAGCTGGAGGTAGTTAACCTGACAAACGCAAAACCATTCGACGCAACAAAAGCTGAATTAAAAATATGGGTGAGAGAATTCCATAAGGCCTCTTGGAATAATGAAGCGGAGGGTAGAACCACACAGATCCTATGGGGTGACCCTGGTGAGAGCAAGGCGAGAAATCTCCTCAAAATGAGGACCGATAGTGGCCTAGGTGTATTTCTTCAGATTTGAAGTAGTATACATCCTCCTATCAACCTAACCTAACCTAAGTCAACCAAAAACAAACATTTTAAATATTCATATTTAATGAAGCAAAAAACTCAAATATAATGTTTTTGAGTAATTGAAACTAAACGGATAAAAACTGGTAATTATTAGTCGTTTTGATATCTTTTTTAAATGTTGTTCGAAGTCAGTTAAATTTGATTTGTAGTTTAAAAAATCCAAAAAGCCATCGTGATGTATTTTTTGTAAGTCAACATTTAAGGGATATAACGAAAAAAATGTAACATTTTTGTGTCTATGAAATTTTGCACGAAACAAGGGTAAAAAAGAAAATATTTTCGACGAATATAGGAAATCTGCGTTTGCTGTATGAAATGTTCTATAGACATAAATTTCTCAATATTAATATTTGAATGGACCGAAGAACTCACAAATATCGTGTTTTAAGGTAATTCAAACTAAACGAGTAAAATTTCAATGGTATTTGATTTGTTAATATTAGGGACATATGTGCATTAATGTATAACCAAAAGTAGGGCCTATTCCTACGTGGTAGCCAGTAGTGTTCTAATAACGAAAACCGTTTTCTCGTGTTATTTTGGTGCAAAAGCCTACCCCGGCAAATTGATTTTTTAAAATCTACATGTTTGGGTACTAAAGTTGGAAGGAGGATAAACCGCAGCCCCTGTAGTTGCTTTTGTGTGTTAAACAATGACACTTTATTATATCAAAAATTTCCTATTTTGTATTAATAAATTTAAAATTTTGTTAAAAGTAAATATCGAAAACTTTAAAACATTAACGCCCGGAAAAAGATGATTTACTTTTTCAACGTACTCTTTTATACCCTATGTGGAATGGATAGGTCCGATTTGAAAATTGTATAAATGTTACAAACCTACCTAATGTGCATATTTGTGAAAAGTGATCGAAACATGAACCAGTAAGGTACAAAAAGGTAAAAAACTTTTGGTGCTTTTTGTTTCAATCAAATGATTGTAGCTTTATTAAATGACAAAAAACTAATTGGCGAAAAGGAGTAACATTTTTGTTTTTATACCCTTCACCTTCGTGAGAAGGGTATATAAAAGTTTGTCATTCCGTTTGTAATTTCTATAATATAATTTTCCGACCCCATAAATTATATATATTCTGGATCCTTATATGTAGCGGAGTTGATTAAGCTGTGTACGTCTGTCTGTCTGTCAGTCTGTCAGTCTGTGTGTTTGTTGAAATCAGTTTTTAGATATCGGCAAGATCCGAATCTTCAATAATTCTGTTAGACATGCTTTCGAGAAGATCGCTATTTAAAATCAGCAAAATCGGCCCATAAATACCGGAGATATGAGCAAAAATCCGGGACAACCTGTGAAAATTTCATAAAAAAGACAGTTTTTTTCATGCTTTGATATATAAGCAACAACAACACTGCTTATTCATTGAGTATTTCGTTTCATATGTTTGGATGGCTGTGTGTTTCATTGCATTGTGCATATTTTTTTGTTTCTTGGTGTATTCAGTTTCGTATTTTTTTTTTTTTTTTGGAGTATTTCGTTTCGTATGTTTGGATGCCTGTGTGTTTCATTGCCTTTAGAGTCCGACCGAACTCAAAATTGAGTTCGGTACCGAACTTCGGTAAATTTGAAAGTTCGGCCGAACCCGAACTTCGAACTTTGTTCGGTTTTCAAAGATCGGTGAACACGAACTTTTTTTAAATGAAAAATAATACTTTTTTATTTTTGTTTTTTAAACGATTTATGGACAATGATATAATTATCAGTAAGAGCACGCTGAGAAAAAACATGGTTGTGATAACCATGTTCTAAGAGCAACATACTATGATTAAAATTATGATTGTAGTCTAAATATATTATCGTTATTGTAACAATTTTAAAATATCATATGATTAAATACCGTCAAAATATTCCATCATTATATTTTTGTATTTATCATAATATTGTTATACATGATATTATGATCCAATGTGATCAAAATTTCGTTTTAAATATGTATCGAAATCAAAATGAATTTTATCGAATCAGTAAAATTAGTCTTTAAAAAAATAAAAAATATATATACAATACTTATCACAATTCGCAAATTTCAATTTGCCAATTTATATGAAATTTTGTTTCATAAAAAAATTTAAGTATAATTTCATAAAAATACTAGTATGAACGTTATAGTTATGAACGTTAGTAATTTTCTAAAGCGAACATTATATGGAGGCCATGTCCAAATGTAAACCGATTTTGTCTATTTTGAATACCAATCAAACTGCAACAATAGTTTAGGTCCTATCGTTCTTTCAAGAGACTGACTGGCTGACAGACATGTCTAGATCGTTTGAGAATAAGAACATAGAAAATTTAGATGTTACAAATGAAATCAAAGATTTATAATCGAAACTAGATAATTCAAATTAAATGGTTAAAAGTTTTTCAAATCAGCCGAAAAAACGAAAGGTTAAAAAGGCGTTTTGTACCTATGCATATCCGAAATTTATTTATCAGGATGTATGATAACTTCTTTAAACAGATTTTCAGCATTTTTAAAACTTTTTGATGATATAAAAATATGATAAAAAAACATTTTATAAAAAGTTCGGCGTTCGGTGTTCGGTCAAAATTTCGCCGAACACCGAACCTCACTTTTTACCGAACTCCGAACCCGTACCCGAAAGTTCGGTCGGACACTAATTGCCTTGTGTATATTGTTTTTGTTTCTTGGTGTATTCCGTTTCGTATGTTTGGATGCTGTTGGTTTTACTGCCTTGTGTATTTTGTTTTTGTGTGGTTATTTCGTTTAGCGTTGTTGTTGTTCATTTTGTTTTGCTATTGCTATAATAATGATATAATGATATATATAATATATACTATTTTGGTAACTTTATTTTTGAATTAATATGCCATTTACACCAACCAAAAACTAACAGTTTTTGGCTTTATTTTGGTTTTTGTTTGAAAAACTACTTAAATTTCCTTGGTTTTTCCATACAAATTGAAAACTACTTTCAACTAGTTTTTGATAAAAACC